CTATTTGATTTATGTATATGTGTGTTTGTGTGTGTGTGTGTATGTGTGTGTACACTACATATTTATATTTGGATTATATTTATATTTGGGAGATATAAATAGATCAATTCCAAATGAATCCATAGTGTTGCACAAACAGAGTGGGGACGACACTTTCAGCAGAATTTTTAACTTTGATTTTTAGTTTTAACCTAAGTTTTGCAGTTTTGAGGAACCTTTCAAATATCATGTGAGTGTCATCACTTTAGTGAGTCCTCCCTCTGTAAGGATGTCCACTGACATTAGTATAGGTTTTGAGACTGCTATGAATATGAATGTATGAACTTTTCTGCAAGCTGCTTTATTCAGTGAAAGGACACAATAATTACTCCATTATTATTTATTATGCATTTATTTATTATGCATTTAATGAATACATGTTGACAATAATTTAGGATTATAATTAGTCAAACACAGCTGTCCTTTGCTTTAAAATGTGTATAGAAACACTGGCTGACTTACAGGCTTGGGTCATAACATCCATCTCTACTTCCCATAAAACATGAGCGAGCCAAATAAAATTGATTTAAAACTTGATTTTTTGCACAGAAGTGTAAGATGTCATTCTATTTCGCAAACTACCTTTGTACACATCATCTCTTACACCATTCTTTAGTGCCCTGATTGCATTCAAACTACATCTGGCCACTTTATAGATATATATGTTGCTCCTTATTGCTGCTTTCAATCTTGAAAAGCTAACAAGCAGAAAGAGCAAGCTGGGCTTGCCATATGCATAATGTCATTTCGTGCTTGGTTGCATGAATGATCCATCCACCCACCATGACTACGAGGTGATGCAGTTAGGTTACAATGGGAAGGACCTTTTAACAACACGTTACTACGAGCAGAAAGCATGTTTTTGGATAAGAGATGATTTTTTTTCACAGTCCTGGTGATACAACAAGGCATGTGTGGGGACCACCTGGGGAATTTGAACAAAATAAATATCGAAAAGCCATATGACCCTGGCACAGCTATGTCTACATTAGCAAGAAGCATGGTGCAACAGGCAAGAAGCACGGGAAGCAGGGCCGTCAGGAGAGTCACTTCAAAAACACGCTCCTGATCTGAATCAAAACATCAGCATAAGATGCAACATTATGCACGACATAGACGTGCAAGGAAATACAAGGCAAAAATTTCTTGTAGACGTCATACATGGCAGCTAGAGAAAGTGTCTGCATTTGGACAAGCTATGCCTACAATTGTAGGCTAAACCTTCCGTTTGGTGGGTTTTTTTACCATTTCCTACATGCATGATTCTCCATTCAGCCTTTGGGAATTAAACATATCAGAACGGTGATGAAGAAGATGAGATATATGCAAATTGTTCTTAACAATTTTATAGTAGTCCTATGGAAGTGTAAATATCTTAATTGCATTAAGCAGCTCTATGACCAGAATAGTGTTATCTATTTTTTAAGGTTAAGTGAGTTAATGAAGCCAGCATAAAAATGAAGATGTGATCAAAAATATATTATTGGGTGGGAAACTGAATTGTGTACAGCTCTAGATCAGCCTTTAAACCCTTCCTTCCGATTTTGGGTTTGACCACCAGGTAGGTAGATCTCACCCTCGTTCTCAGATTTCATGGTAAGTTTGCTGGACTGCAGAGGCCAGAAGGCCTCCACCTTCTAAAATGAGATGATCTGCCTGACGAGTCATTGAAAAACAGTAAAGACGAAAGGACAGAAAGCTTTCTCCACAGTCAGTTTTTACACACATCTATATACTACTTTAAACAGAAACGTCTGCTTTACCGCCACCGCTCTAAGGCTTTCTTGAATGCTGGGGACGAATTCTTTAAAAATGCTGGATTTTATTAGCGTTCCAGTCAGCAAGCAGATGTTACAATGCATTGCAACAGCACATGAGCAGAAAACTTGGAATTCTGAGGTGGAAACAGGTCAAAACGTGGATGCTCCGAACGGCTAGAGGCAAGGACGCGTGAACGCGCCTGCACAGCCGCCAGCTGTGACCCTTTCCGACGAGAAAACACGTGGAACCGGGTCTTCTTGTCGGATGACTTTAGGCTCTTGAGCGTGATGTTATGAGCGCGCTGGGGTTTCCTTTGGAGGAAGTTTCCCCTTTTTATAGGGAAATTAAAAAAAAAAAAAAAATCCAGTACGGCTAAGGGTCTAATTTGGCATCGCACTAGAACAAGGCAAGGCAGATTTCGGCACCCTGACGAACCAAGGTGTGTCGGGCCAGCCGCGCGGGGAAGAAGGCGCGTTGGCCGACGGCAGCGTTCGCGAGAGCCGTTTTCCGGCAAACCCTGTGCGAGGGCAGCGACGCGCCGGCGCCCTTGGCCCGGGCCGGGGCGACGGGGACGGGCCCGGGGAGCAGCGGACCC